TCCTGGCCACCACTGCTGCACCAGCAGCCAGAGCCCCAGACCCTTTAAATCAGCGCCAGAGCCACCTGTCACCCCCACCTTGCCCAGGACCCCGGCCGCCCTGAGTACCGGTAAGTCCCTTAAGTTACTTTCACCCCTGCACACAGGCCACAAGATGTTAATCACTTTCAGACCATAAAGCAGGCCTAGATCCAAACTGGTAATCTAAAAGTTGAAAGGCTCTAGAGTTGGCATCAATTCCCTGCAAGCAAGCCTCTTTATTAGGCTTTACTTATCCTCCAACTCTCTTGTTAAATCTAGGCTAATACATACATAAAAAATCTTTATTAAAAATAATAGCTAACATTCACTATGCTGTAAGTGGACAACAGATTTCGCTAAGCTCAAAAGTTTGTCTTTCTCACCGACAGAAGTTGGTACAGTAAAAGATATTACCTTACCCACTTTGTCTCTCTAATATCCTTGCACCAACATGGCTACGACAACATTGAATAATATAAATCTGAGTCAGAGTGTGGGACCAGGGCAGGGAGGGAGCCTGTCTGAGCCCGCTGCATACCACTGCCACCCTGGAGCCGCTCCAGGTAAGCGGTGCTGGCCCCGAACCCCTCCTGCACCCCAACCCCCTGCCCTGAGCCCCCTGCCGCACCCCTCCTGCACCTCAACCTCCTGCCCTGAGCCCCCTCCCACACCCTCCTGCACCCCTGCCCTGAGCCCCCTCCCACACACCACATCCCTCCTGCGCCCCAACCCCGTGCCCTGAGCCCCTTCCTGCACCCCGCACTCCCTCCCACACCCCACACTCTCTCCCACACCCCAACCCCCTGCCCCAGCCCTACATTCACGGCCCTGTATGCAATTTCCCCACCCAGATGTGGCCCTCCGGCCAAAAAGTTTGCCCACCCCTGTTTTAGAGGGAGCAAGTATATGAGATTAAAGTTAAAGTTGCACAGACAATTGTGGACCTGGCATTTTCTAACATTTGAAGGCTTGACTTTGAAACCTCATTTCTGTTTGTAATTAAATTAGCACACATTACTGAGTAGGCTGACAACAACATAGATGGCAACCTGTAACATGCTGCTGACAAATAACCCCACTCTGCCTAAATGTATTAGTATTTTTAAGAATGGAAAAAATGTTAACACGGCTTCAACATACAAAGGATGAGGATAACACTATATTGTCAGGCAACCAATTGAAAAATATAATACCTTTGCGCATATATATATTTTAATTACACACACATATACACACACAAATCACAAATGCATTAATGCACATTAAATACAATCAGGAGGAACTAAATTAAAGAATGGGAGTTATCTCAGGTAATACAAAACAAAGCCACTAACATTTTATAAATGAACACAACAGCTAAACTCAAAAAAGAAATTACCAACCCCACTAACTATAATTCAAATCATGGTTAAAAAACAATATGGTCAACTGCAATAGAAGTGTCATACTAATATAGAGCAATATTACTTAACATACTCACATTCTTCTAGAAACAGACATACCAGGAAAAATGTTATAAGCAGAGGTGGGACTGACATCTTCAATTAAGAAAGCCAAATATTTTCTATTATAAGATGTATTTATATTAAACCATGATACACATTTAATAGTGTCTTCAAAACCAATTTAGTGTTGATGTTGAAGCTGTAGCTTAATATTTTCATGTTTTAAAATTAGAGGTGTGTATAAACAAACAATCTGGTTATTTTCAGTGTATTTTTATATACTCACAAAGGCCTAGATACTACAATGGGATTAGCTAGTGTGGCTGTGTGTCAGTGGGACTCCACAAGGTTCTATGCTATCATACTCTGCCTTTAAAATTTTGTTTGTATAACCATCTAAAACCATAATGTACAATTAGAGCTATAAATCAACATGTGTAATTTATACAAAATTAGACTTCTAGAATTAAAAGCAACATACACAGATAGCTAGATCATACAGAAATACTTTGATATATATAAAAAGGGGAAATGCATTCTTACTGTCTTGTTAAGAGCTCAGATTTGTACGGGAAACAGTACTGAAGTAATGAGGACTGAACCAACATGTTCCAAGTATTAATACTACAATGTTGGGAGTGAGTACTAAGTTTCAGAGCAGCTGCATAACAGCAGTTAATAACATGTTGGGGTTTTTTTTTAAATATGTTTTAAATATGTGATTCTTTTTCCTGATTATGCTGAAGGTTATTTTCCTTAATTGGAAAAAAGCCTCTAAAAAGAGTCAATATCCTTTAAAGATGGTAGCATTGAACAGTAACTGTATAGTAAAGAACTACCTGGTAAGTGGCAAGAGGGTGGGAAGGAAACGGGTGGAAAGATTACATAGTAGCATTTGAGGCTAAAAAAAAAAAAAAAAAAACCTGATAAGCCAGGAATGTTCAAATCAACTGCATTCTAAAAATGTGCAACTCAAATTGGAATACAACTCAAAGTCATAGTTTGCTTCCTTTGATGTAATCAAAATGACATCAGTGGGAGTTTTGCCTACATGAGGTCTGTAGGAAAAAAGATGAAATATAGTAGTGTGTATAATTAGTTATACACCGAAGACACTAACCAGTTGTCTGTGTCTCAAACCACAGAAAAAACTTAGACTGTTGTATTAATTTAGATGGAAAATAGGTTACAGTAACACCTGTGGCCCTAGTTACAATCTAACATTAAACAGTGTTAAATTCCAGGGTTAGGTATACAGAGACCCCTGCTTGCTTAGTACCATGGCAAACACACTATTAAAAATTTTTTTAAGTCTTTTATTAAAGATACAGAAATGAAGGAAAAACAGGTAAAGCATATGAAATGTAAAATATTAAATAAGGCATTCATTTTAACAACCTCCCTTTGTTCCTTTTCCCTTTAGCAGAAGTGGGTTTTAAAAGGGAAAAACCCTTTGTTTGACAGTCTCCTAGATGGTATTAAATATGGTAACTGTCCTTTTGAGGAAAAGATGTTTGAGGTGAGCTGGAGCTGTTATTGCGGCTGTTGTTAAAGTCCTTTCACCCCAGGTGGTGTTTGAAAGGCTACTGGAGCTGGTAGGGGTGATGTCGTCATCTGGCTCCCTGGGTCTGGCCAGGGCATTTCTTAGGATCAAGATGATGAAGGCCTGGGGTCCCATGGGGGTGGCAACCACGAATTGGTGAAGCTTGCTCCAGTACCCTCCCTCTACTCTTCTTTTTGTTCTTTCCTACTTTTCCTCACATCATCTCTTTCTTTTAAGGACTCAGAAAGGAAATGATGGGTGGAATAGCCCAATCCCTCGTTATTTTGTCCATCAATTAGGCCTAATATTCTACACCCCAGTTCTGGTTCATCAATTTCCAATTCCACATCTGTTTCTAACAAGCATAATTTCAACAGTCCTTGGATTATATCAACATAGTCTTTTTGGTTTAGACTAGTCCAGTTTCTCTGCCGGTTTTCTTGTACCTGTTCCCATCCACTTTTGCTGTTATACATTGTGACATTTTATGAATTTACAATTACTTTTTACAACTATCAGGGAGTAGCAGTGTTAGTCTGTATCCACAAACAACAACAACAACGAGTCCAGTGGCACCTTAAAGACTAACCGATTTATTTGGGCATAAGCTTTCGTGGTTTTTTACCCATGAAAGCTTATGCCCAAATAAATCGGTTAGTCTTTAACGTGCCACTGGACTCGTTTTTACAACTAAAATCATCCAGTATGTAGGCCCAATTGTCACAACATCTCTCTTCACATCTAGGTGAACTTAAACTAGACTCCTGATAACCTAAGGCACCTTTAACTTCAGTACAAACAGAAGAAATACAGTTTTAGCCATGATTAAATATTTTATAGATACACTGTAGTATAATATAGAGAAAGGGCTGATTCTCTGATAACTTCTATTGCTGTGAATCAGGAGTAACTCTACTGCAGTCACTGATGTGAGAGAGAGAGAATGAGGTACAAAGTACTGCTAGTACAGGGCTCAGCAACCTTCACCATGCGGCCCGTCAGGTTAATCCACTGGTGGGCCGCAAGACATCTTATTTCCATTGACCATCTGCAGGCATGGCCCCCCACAGCTCCCAGCGGCCATGATTCGCCGTTCCTGGGAACTGCGGGAAGCAGCACGGGCCGCAAGGACATAAAATCACAGACAGGTCACAAACGAAAAAGAAAAATTCACGGAATCAGTGACCTGTCCATGACTTTTACTAAAAATATTCGTGACAAAAATCTTAGCCTTAATCATAACCGATAACGTCACGTACTTATTCTTTTTATTCAAATAAATCAAGTCACCTTAAAATGGTGATTAAGTCATAAATTGTATACAGAAAAGAGATATATTCATTCCATAATTATCTCCAAAACAGCTACTTGATAGTCACAGGAGTCTGTTAATAGTTGTATTAGTAATACAGAGCTCCTGCTTGATGAGAATCACAAAGAAGTTTTAAATTATTATAAATTTGACTATCACAAAAATCCCATAGGAGCTGGGGAAATTTTATTGCACCCATTTTATAGACAGGGAAACTGAGGCACAGAGGTTAAATGACTGGCCCAAGATAATTCAGAAGTCAATAACAGTCTGAAATATAGTTCCGTTCTCCTAGCCAACACAGTCTTACACTTTACACAAAATTGGGGTTGGGGTACGGGAGAAGGTGAGGGTTCTGGATGGGGGTGTTGGCTCTGGGGTGGGGCAAGGGCTCCAGGGGGTCCACTGGGGATGAGGAGTTTGGGGTGTAGGAGGGTGCACTGGGCTGGGACCGAGGGGTTCAGAGGGCAGGAGGGAGATCAGGGCTAGGGCAGGGGTGCGGGAAGGGGTGCAGGCTCCGGCTGGGGGTGCAGGCTCTGGGGTGACGTGTTTGGGGTCCAGGAGGGTGCTCCAAGCTGAGATTGAGGGGTTCAGAGGGTGGGAGGGGGAGATCAGGGCTGGGGCAGGGGGTTGGAGTGTGGGGAGAGGCTCAGGGGTGCAGGCTCTGGGCGGCATTTACCTCAAGCGGCTCCTAGAAGCAGCAGCACATCCCTCTCCGGCTCCTACATGCAGGTGCGGTCAGGCGGCTCTGCACACTGCCCCATCTGCAGGCACCACCCCTGCAGCTCCCATTGGGATGCCGGAGCAGGGCCATGCCGCGGTTTCTAGGAGCCACATGGAGTGGCCCCCAATCCTGCTCCCCGGCTGGAGCACCGGAGCAGAGCAAGCTCCAGACCCCACTCCCCAGCCAACCTCGAGGGCCAGCTTAAAATGGCTGGTGGGCCAGATCCAAGCCGCAAGCCGTAGTTTGCCCACCCCTGTTCTAAAGGAAAGTTTTACAGACACAGACATAGCAGTGTTACCAGGCAGGTACCACTGGAAGCACAGCCTGTTCTGCCAATACTAAACCACATGGCAGGGTGAGTATGAAGGTCACTGCACACTCCTTGAATTCTCTGCATCTTACAGAAACACCTCAGCTTAATAACTTTGTTTACTTTTACGGTGGATAGGCACAATAATTCGTTGAGTGTTCAACGCCCTTCCCCTGCATGGGGGAAGGGCAACGTTCTGGAGGTTGCTTTTCAGGATGCAGCGTAAAACAGGCAAGCATGCTTGGTTCACAGCATTTGGTGGGACTTGCGGGGATGGGGGGAGGATGAACTGAGTTGTTCTGTTCATTTGAGAATGAACCTTTTGTAAAGAATACCTGTAATAGCTTTTGGGGTTCATTACCAACTTAATACTTTGGTTACACTCACAAACCTGAGCAGAAACTAACACAAACCAGCTCTAGGGTAAATAAATGGAGGAGAATGGCTTTTGTCTATACTTTTGGAGGGGAAAGCAGCATTTTTCTATAGTTTTTGATCAAATCAGGAAAAATTTTAAAAATACACAAACTGTATTTAGTGGCATGGAGCATATTAGGTTAAAAGGATATTTTTTTAAAGTTGTTTTCAGCTCAGAAGTGGTTTATTTTTCTGGGAGGAAGGATGAGTACAAATCTGGTTTAAAAAAAATCTATATGACAACATAGAACTTGCAAAGGGTTGATGAACAACTGCGTTGAGTTATGTATGGTTAGAAGTACCTTCACTTGTAAATTGTACACTTGTTTATCGAATACAGTTAGAAAAGCTGTTGTTTATTAGTTATCTTGCAGCTTTGCACTCGCTGTTAAACATGCTATAGAGAGACTCCTACCACAATTGCTTATGCACTTTTTTAAATAGTAAGTGCTCCAGACAACCTCAAATGCAAATAAAGGTGTTAGAAAAAATTAATAGACTTAACACTATTCATTTGGGACAATCGTCCTTGAAAATGCTTTCAGTGACAGAGCTATTTAAATTTAAACTAGACACCGGTGCTGGACAAATGGAGAAGATTATTTGCAAACGTTTGTGCAAATACTGAATGGCACTTTGATTTAGCAATGTGTGTTTTTCACATTTACACACATTAAATGTTCTCCATACAACTATTCGCAGAAAGTAGATGATCTAATAGTCTTCTGTTACAGGCATAATCAAGAAACTAGTTTTGGAATTAAACCAAACACTGTTCATGCAGAAGCCTAAGTAGTGGGTGAAGGCAGAGTCATCCAGTCAGGGAACATAAACTATACCATATGACTTAAGTGACCAATCATACATCTTGAAGAGCAAATTCTAACTTCTGAATGAATCACCTCTTTCAGAACCTCAAATGGCTCCTTTTGAATTCTGTTCTAAAAAACAAGGACAAAAAAAAACAAAAAAACAAAACAGAGTATGGAGATGAAGATTACTAAAAATAGATAAGCAGGCTACCAAGACAAAAAGACACAGGAGAGACTTCCATGTAACATTCCTTTCTCCTCCCCACCACACACCCAGTAACAAATATCCACACAGGTCTTGAAAATCAGAAAAGTAAGCATACAGAAAAGTGAGCAACTAGAAGGATCGCATACTACATGAGACAGCTGCATGTCTGAAATGAGATGAGGAAGATATTCAACAGAGAGCTGGATTATGCTGCGTCCTTTAACTCTACCCTCAGACTCACTTGTAGTTTCTTGTTCACATTTAATAGGTTCAGAAGGATAACCTCAGGAAACTTGCTATAAAATATAAGGAATTACATTGTCAATATTTAGGTTTACAAGACAGACTTGGGCATTCACTCACATCCTTACTACAAACAAATACCACATTTTAAATTGCACCATAAATATTGCAATATCCCTTTAAAAAAAAAAAGATGCCAACAATCCGATCTTTTGTCTGTAGGGTACATTATATATATATATATATACACACACACACACACGCACACACCCACCATATTTAAAATATACCTTTCTTTTGGTCTGATCCTGCTTAAATTCAAAGGCAAAGCTGCATTATTTCAATGAGGGCAGGATCAGGCCCAGGCCCATATACCATGGTATAATATTGCTGGGTGCTGTTAAATCACTGATGTGCTCCCTCGCCTCCACCGCCACCGCAGCTATATCTCAGTGGTAGAAATTCTTATCTACGTATTATAGACCGAAATTAAAAGCTTTGCCCCAGACATTCTTTAAGTTTTGCAAGGGAGAGATGTTCAGAATTCAAACTAGGATCAAAATCAGAATGTTGCTGTTAGTCTTAAGCTCCAGTTCTGAACACCCAGATCCTAGTTTTGTATCTGAAGCACATTTATATAGCCACAGGGTGTGAAATGCTTTGGGAGAAAACAAATGCAATATAAATACATGTAACCCTTCTGCCCGTCAGAGTTGGCAGCAACAAGGGCCGGGTTCAATATCTAGGGGATCCATTCCAATAACACAATGCAAACCGGCTCGAGCCCCCACCCAGTGACCTGGGACAAATATATACCACCCCCGCTGGGCGCCTCCAAGAGGCAATACTTCCCCTCTCGCAAGCACATAGTCTGAGTGTAGCAAAAGCCTTTTAATAACAGAGAGAAACAATGTGGCATTATGTTTGGGAAACACCACCAACAGGATTCATAACAAAACCCATGAGCAAAAACCCACCCCAAGCAAATTGGGGCATGCCCTTTTCCCTTTGGTTCTTGAGTCCAGCAACCCCAAATCACTCAAAGTCCCAAAAGTCCAATGCCCCAAAAGTCTCTGTCCCTGGTCAGGGCCGCCTCAGAGTTTGAAAGTTTATCTGCGGAGCTTTTCCTCCCAACCTGGGTGGAAATGGGACGGGAGTAAGAGGCACCTTACATGATCTGAAGCTGACCGCCCCACGAACTCCTTCGCTCGGCTGCGCTCCGCTCCGCCAGCCGCCCCACGAACTCCTTCGCTCGGCTGCGCTCCGCTCCGCCAGCCGCCCCACGAACTCCTTCGCTCGGCTGCGCTCCGCTCCGCCAGCCGCCCCACGAACTCCTTCGCTCAGCTCCACGGCCCACAAGCAGCTCCTGCCATCCACAAACTGCTCCACCAGCCGGTCCGCAAGGCACTCCAGCCGGCCCGCCAACTGCTCCACAATATATCTTCCAGCTCCCCCACTACTTAACACAACACTCAGTGATTTCAGCTCTTAGGTGAATTCAGCTTGTAGTAGGGGAGCCCCAGTGCTGGTGCACTGTCAGCCCAAAATGAGCTCAGCAGCCTATAACTAGACTTCTAATGAAATCAAAATTAGCTCTGATATTCCACAGTGGAGAGAGGAGGAAGTGCAATTAGCATGTAAGGCCCTCACCAAGGGGCCCATGCCACCAAGTATTAGTACTTATCCCCAGCCTCTCTCCATTCACACAGTTTTGGAACCCATGACCCTTGCCTAGCGAGTGCTACTTAGTTGATGGTGAATCCCTCCATCATAACAAAAGGCCACGTACAGTTCCAAGCACAGTTCCCATAATCAGGGTAATAACAATTTATTCTTCCTGCCCCAATAACAGAGACACTGGGGATCCCACAGCAGCCAAAGTGACCATTTGGGCAGCTATGGTCTCATTCTAGGCGGGGTGGGTGTGCCTATGCAAATGAGATCGGCCCCTGAAGTTCTTTTCCACAACTTGCCACACCTCACCACCAGATGTCAGGGTGGAGCTCATCCTGACACTGCTTACATCCTCCCACCAGCCGAGACTTTGTCGTCCCGACAAATCACACTCCCTTTATACCAACTCATTGGTTTCCTCCAAAGGGCCTCAGGAAGCCCACTTTAGCTTCCACAAGCCTGTGTGCTAAATGTATTGGCTCCTCACTAGTCACCCCAGGTGCATCATAAGTTAACCGTTTCACTGGTCTTATCACCCTGTCTCGTCTATTGAGAATCTCTGTTGCCGAGGTAGGGGGAACATCCTCTTGAGTGACGGATGGAGAGGCTTCCCTGGAGGGTCCCTCGGCTACTGGCATAGGCCCCTGCACTCCTAGTTCTAACGCTGGAGGGTCCAAGGTGCCCAGGACATCCTCTACCTGTCTGTCCCCATTGTCCAATAACCTGTGTGTGTCATCACAGGGGGGTCTCATCAGCAGCACCGGGGTATCAGAAAGGGGCCTAAATAGTTCCGCCATTGGGTTTAGGGTGGAAGAGGGAAAACTCTCGTTTGGTTCAGCTGATCGAGACTGAAATCTTGTCTCCATCCCAGGATACACCAGGGTTGTGTCTTCCTCCTCAGACTCACTCTCAGATGCGCAGAATAGGGGTAAGTTAGCTGCAGGGGGCCCACTGTCTGTGTTGGATGGCGGCTTTGGTCTAGCACCTCTGTTCTGCCCGGCGGCCCTGCCGAGGCCCATCTCACAAGGGGTGCTTACCAATTCCCCCACAGGGAGCAAAAGGTTTCTATGCACCGTCTTTATTTGCCCTGGACCGTCTTCAGGTTTGATCTTGTAGACCGGCAGATCTCCCAGCTTTTCCATCACCAGGTAAGGTATTGCCTTCCATCTGTCAGCTATCTTGTGTTTGCCAGCAATACCCAAATTTCGCAGCAGGACTCTGTCCCCCGGCTGGAGCTCCTGCGAACGCACTCTAGCATCATATCGATGTTTGTTGCGGTCTGCGTTCTTCCAAGCCGCAGCGGTAGCTAAATGATAAGCATCCTGCAGCTTTTCTCTTAGTCGGGATACATATTGCTGATGAGTTTCATAGCTATCTCCATCCTCTGATACACCAAAGCACAAGTCTATGGGTAATCTTGGTTCTCGCCCAAACATCAAGAGATATGGGGTGACTCCCGTAGCACTGCTTACATACATATATTTTGCTAAGATAGTCTCTTCAATCACATCACTTCTACAATGTCTTGACAAAGCTTCAGGTCAATTTCCAAATATACCCACTTAGGCAGAAATTGGAAGTTGATGAAGTACAAGGAGTTAAATCTTCATCTCAATGTATGTGAAGAAATGT